ACTCAGGGGATCCCCAATCGGCGCAAAGGGTCCTCTGACTAGTATTTGAGGTCCCGGCCGGCAGGGCTGTCTGAGACTCCCAATACCACGGCCGACCAGCCCTTCGACCTTTAAATCAGGACCATTTAATCAGGCCCAGAATCTTCGGTCCAGAGGAGCTGGGAAAGCTCCTCAGGACAAAAGGGGTGGGGCATGTGCCTTCTGTGCCCGCTGCCTGTGCTCCTGGACGAAAGTATCGTCTTCATGCGCCTGTCAGTCGCTTTGCTCGTTAGCTAGTGTTAGCATATTCCGGTTGAGATACAGCCGTAGCAAGTTTCTTTACAGCTATCGCAGTTGAAAGAAAGTATGGGTGTGCCAACTGGACAGCTTCCAGTGCAGCTACGAAATAAATTTTCTGTAGGACTGGTCGTACCACTCTCATATTTTTAACCGGTTATTGCATGAAGGATGCGTGCCATCGGTGTGGAAGAGAGCGACAATCACCCCTGTGCCAAAGAAAACATCGCCCAAGTTAACAGAGATCTGTGACCGCTAAGCCTCACACCGCCTTTTAGCGAGGTTTTGGAAAGAATTATTGTTTCACAAATGCTGGCGGATATAAACCAAGCATAGAGACGCACCAGCACGGAAATATGAAAGGTGCCTGAACTTCACACTATCTAATTAGGTTGTTGCATGACTTCATGACGAAGTTAGACGAAACAGACCAATTATTTTCTGTGGAAATGTATAATTTTAAGAAGGAATTTGACCTCATCGATCACGCAACAGTTACAAGGACATGCTTGTAATGGGACTTCGCTCCGGGTATGCAAAGTGGCTAAACTCATTCCTGCAGGACCGACAGCAACGGGTCAAGATACCAGATGGCACCATGACTCGGGGGACTTAGGAGGTGACTGTCTGTTTTAGGCTGTCGCTCGTGGGGATGAGGAGATGGACAAAGGTAGTGCGTTGTGTAGGCATATTCCAACAAGCTCTGACAAAAACTGACACTGTTATTTTAGTAGCAGGACAGGTAGTTGTGTGTATATATATATATATATATATATATATATATATATATATATATATATATATTAAATCGTGTATGTATATTATACATACGCATGTACATATCCAGTAAATATGCTAAAATTCCGAGAAGACGCCTTTCAAGTCCCACTCGAACAGGCATCTGTCTGGACACGCAGTTCTTGGAATATCTTGTTTTTAACTTCTAAGCATCTAGTCGCTTTCAGGACTCCATAGCACTGAAGACGGTCGAAGAGTAGACTGGCCGGAACGTAGAGTAGCTAACACACCAGACGGGGACCGTAGTTTGAACAATTGCCCGGGGGGGGGGGGGGAGGTGGGGGCGGTAGTGAAACGGTTAACGCGTATGTTAACCAGCGCGCGTCTGGGAAACCAGAGGTGCGGGGTTCGATTCCCCGCGGTGCCCGCCCTTCCCGCCAGGGTGAGAGGCAGGCGGCGCCATATAGTCTCAGCAGCTCGGTGCGTCGTAAAACCTCAGTGACACACACGGAACAATCACTTCATCCGTTACCAAGTCGTCCTTGCCCTGTTCGTTGCTAGTGACCTGACCTGAGCGTTCCACCTCTTTACAACAGTGGCATGATCTGACCTAGCGCGAAGCGTGGACGGCGATAGTCAGGGAAAAACGGGTCGAGTGTTTTATTACACAAATTTGTCTGCTACATCTTACGTTTTCGTTTTCTCCCTCTATCAGCATCAAGTTAACAGCATCAACGTGGATTGCTGAAAAAGCATTAGTTCACATGAAGCCTAGGCATGAGCGTTCACATAAAAGAGCAGTCAGAGCAAGCCGCTCGTTGCGCTCCGACTTGCGTTTGACCACCGCCGTTCCGTTCGGCCGCCGACTACCGTCGACGTCATGGGCGACATAATGAAGCGATGGGATCACCAAATGAGTACGTCATATGTACGGCATTGGGATAAGCGATTGCTAGCAAGACACCCAACCCGGCACCCGCATCCCCCCCCCCCTCGCGAATCGCCACCGCGCACCCACTCACTGGCGTCCCTGGGCGAGTCTGTGAGCCGGGCCGGTCCGCGCAGGCGCCCAGGCCGGCCGGCCGATCCCCCAGCAGCAAGAGATGCCATTGGCTGCTGCTGGCTCGCCAGCTGACCGTAGGGGCGCGCTCAGGCGCAACGACATGGGGGCGCCACGCGTACCACCACTGACCGTCTTATCACCGGACATCGCCGTATCATCGCATGACCGGTATCTCCGAGCACACTGAAGGTCGGTTGTTTTCAGGGTAGCAACTTACAAAAGAGGATGGAGGTGTGGCAGAGCACGGGAGTCGTGAGGCAGGACAATCGCCGCCTCTGAGCCACACGGGACGCGAGAAATCACGCAGGCCCGCTCATGGCCTCGGTCGCTGGTCCCGCAGCCGAGGAACAGCGCTGCGCAATAAGAGGTGCGCACCGCCGGCGGTGCACGGCTTCTTCCCATTGCAAGCTCACCCATCAGTGAAGACCAGATCGAGAGGTATTACGCGGTTTGTCCGGAACGACCTCGGGTGAGTACATGGGAGCGTAGACCATCAATAAACTGAGGCTGTACGCAAGCCAAAGCGTGCCCAAAACACACTAAGGATGGGGTTTTCAAATTTGCGCTGCGGTCGCGAAGAGGGATTTTCATTATCTCTTAAGGTGGCTACACTACGCGTGGTGGTGTACAACGTGGTGTCTGTACTACGATGGCGCTGAAGAGAGGTACATATGGTGACACATGTATGACGGTATCGCCGAAGAGAGAACCTCGGCCATGAAGTGTGCTGGTGATGGAACAGCACGAGCGGACGTTGAGATCTGGCATCTTCAGCCAACGCACCGCTCCAGCCGCCACGGTGAAGTACTATGCTGCACCAATTGGCCATATCAGCGCATCGTGGCACATTGCTACGTTCACTTGCCCCGCCTGCTTCTCGGCATCGGTGTGCGGTCCCAGAAGAGTTCGGTGAACGATCACAGCAGAGCGACCACGATGCAGCGTACAGGGAGGGGAGAGAGACGTGCTCATTGCACCTGTACATTATCTCTTGGACCTCGTTCCAGCGTTACGCGAATTTAACAAGCCGCCTGTTACTGCTGAACACATACTCAATTTAGAACTTGCATTAACACGAGCCCGTTTGGCCCGTTGGATAACCTTCGCTCGGGTGGGCGGTCGATATGACCCCGCTGAGATTTCAATAACTGATTGGACTAGGGTCACCAAATTCATAGGATGTATCGGCCTGCACGTGAACCCACTTACGTCAAAGTTTGATGTTCCTAGGTCATGACCTCCGGGTCAAGTCAGGTTGAACAAGGTCAAATCCTAAGTTGGTCTTCAGCATGTCCCCAGAACCTAGATACCTGTTCTAAGCAAGAGGTCACATGCCTATTCAAGGTCGGTGACCTTGTTTGGCCTTTCGAAGGTCATTGTGACCAAAGTCATAGAGGACTTTGTTGAGTTTTGCATTTGAATAAGCGACAAAAATTACGCTAGGCGGTATGTTCATGAAACGAAATGCTCACTTCGGTCATTTTAGGTCAGTGACCTGTTCTGAACCATAAGATGTTCATGGAAGACGTCTTATAAGGTTTCTGTTATCAATAAATTCGAAATGAGCACCAGAAAGTACCCTATTCAGGAAGCCCCAGAATAGTTAAATAGGTTGATCTTGACCTTGGCCTGACCTTCATAACTGACGCTAGGTCAATGGGATTTGGTCATTCAGTTGTTGCGTCGCTTAAGAAAGTATCTCAGAGATGTATGGCTTCGTCTAACACCGTTGCTCCATCAGATTGAACGATTCCCTAAAAATTGGCTTCACTGGACCCATGGTCTGATTTGACCTGCCGTAGGTCATCGACCTTACAAGGCAAATCTAATTTGTTGATACCAAACAATACGCTGTTCAATTATATACAGCTCTGCAAAATTTGGAGCGGTTACGTAGCCCCCGTTCGGAAACCATTTCAAAAAAATCTCGGGGAGTTCACTTTAATCTCCCCCCCCCCATCTCCACCCGAGCGCGTGTGTTAAGTAACAAACAATAACAAACGCACCTTTGGCATCATTTAAACACCGTGCGCAGAAAGTTGTGTTACTCTGAAGGCATCACCGTCCCCCACCCTAAAAAGGCTGCAGAGTCCTACCCTTTTAGACTTCATTGGCTCGTGGTGGAATGAAACGGGCAATTCCATCGCGCCGTGCGCACCACCCAGCCTTTGCGCCTGGAACAGCTGACCCTAGCGCTTCTCCATCGCTGGGCGGCCGACCTCGGCTCCCCGCACCAAAGCGGTCGGCAGTCGACACCGCGGCCCGGCGTCACGCCTCCAAATGAGCTTGTCAGTCGCGCCTCTTGTAGCTGGGCCGCTCCATGCACGGTGGACGGCGCGCGTCTCCCGTTCTGATCGCCCGCTCATGCCTACCGCAGAACGGCTACGTGAGCGATGCACTACGACGGATGAAAATCTTACCACCAGCATCGTTCTTCAGCAGACCTTTTTGGGCACACGTTGGGAATCAGGAATGGCGTTGGCTGCGGGCGATGCAACTTACTGTGACGCCATCACGGGCAAAAAAAAAACACGGCAAGAGTTTGTGGCCATGCGGCACTGTTGTGCACTCACCTGCAGTACATTTCTGTGCATTGTTCTGTGACGTCAAGGCAGAACTGCGGCTGGATGCTGAGCATCCTTCAGTGACCCAGCTGATATTTATGACACTGATGTACTTGTCACTAAACCGGGCGTTTGATATACGCGTTGTTTCGATGTGAAGAAGTGTGTGAACTATGCTACAAAGCCGGGTGTTTCTGTTGTTGTAGCGTCTGAGTTCTGTGGACACACATTGGACGGCGTCACTGCATTTCTGCGAACTTTTTGAAAATGCATGCAGAGTATTTACAAGCTTTCAGCACAGTCAAGTGTTAGCCCACCAGCGATGTACTCGGTGCAACTGCAATCTGACTGAGAGCATATGATAATTGTTTGTAACGTTCTTTTTTGCAGGATGAGCACCCCAGATAAAAAGGCATTCCCATACAAGATAATTCCTTTGGATAGCGAAACACAAAAGGCTATCGCGCGAGATTTCGCCGGCTATCCCAATGGACTGGCTTCAGTTAACCACTGGGGCTTCAAGCTGTCTGCCACGTCCAGTCCGAAAGAAATAGAAAACCTCTACAACTACCCAAGGAAGGCCGGGGATGTCTGGGTAGTAACACCTCCGAAGTGTGGCACAACCTGGACCCAAGAGATGGTGTGGCTCATCGCCAATGACTTAGATTACGATGGGGCCAAGACGACCCTGTCTGAGAGGTAAGGTTACACCAGACACGGTGTTCATGGCTGCCAAACGATCCATTTGCCAGCCAAAGCCTCTGAACATAATTGTCACATGACATCACTCCGCCTACAAATTTTAGTCCCGACATTGCCTCCACAAAAATCGCGGCCCTCGTGATACACTGCGCGATCTGCATTCACAGGTGGGACTTTCTTAGGACTGGTGCGTTGACGGACGGAGAAAAATATCCTGATCTGAAGACTACTCGGAGATCAGATGCCGCCTGCCAACAGTCAAGCGACAGCTCCCACTGCGCCCAGCCACGCTTCGTCAAAACGCACTGGCCTCTGTCCATGATCCATCCGCGCGTGTTGGACGTCTGCAAGGTGGTGTACGTGGCCAGGAATCCCAAGGACGTCTGCGTCTCCTTCTTCCACCACTGCAGACTCATGACACACGTCGACTTCCTTGGAGATATGCAGGTAAGGTATCAACTAAAATACAGGACGCTGGAGACTACAGGTTTAGTTGACATATACTTGAAAATATTTAACGCGCTCTTCGAATTTTTTCGTCCACTACCTGTTTTGACATGCAACGTTATGGAAGCACAGCTTTGATCTGTCGTTTCAGATGTTCGTGAAGTATTTCATGGAGGGCCTCATCGTGGCAACTCCGGTCATGGAGCACATGGTAGAAGCATGGAATGTGCGTCACCACCCCAACATCTGCTTCATCTTTTTTGAAGACATGAAACGTGATCTCCAATCAGAAATCCACAGGGTAGCCGAGTTTCTGGGCAAGTCACTCTCGTGTGAGCAAGTAGATGAGCTGGCAGAGCACCTTCATTTTGATAACTTCAAAAGAACCCTTACGTCAACAAGGAAGAAGGAAAGACGGCGGGCGACTTCCATGCAGATCGGGGCGACTTCATAAGAAAGGGAAAAATCGGTGACTGGAAGAATCATTTCACGCCAGAGATGAGTGAGAAGTTCGACAAGTGGATGGCAGAGAAGTTAAAGGGCACTGATCTTTCATTCACCATGGAGGATGCGTGAAACAGGATTGATGTAGGACGTCACATCAGTGCGTGATCATTGGTGTCCAGGACTTTAAAGTTCGCCGCTGGTTTTGTTCACCCTGTCGTGTTATGATGCGGAGCGAAACTGAAATTGAATTCAGGTAGGTCTGAATACGAATTGGAGGTTTTCAACCTTTGGAGCTATGAAAACTGAGACGGACATTGGTCAGAAATCCAGACGTGACCGCATGTTTGAGGCCGTCGCTTGTGAGGAGGAAAGATGGGAGAAATACGGGACGGTGTTTAGGCACATTCGAACAAGATCTGACGGCGGGTGACTGATTTTTTAGAGAACAGCACAGGTAGTTATATACATACATATATATATACATATATATATATATATATATATATATATATATATATATATGTGTGTGTGTGGTGTGTGTGTGTGTGTGTGTGTGTGTGTGTGTGTGTGTGTGTGTGTGTGTGTGTGTGTGTGTGTGTGTGTGTGTGTGTGTGTGTGTGTGTGTGTGTGTGTGTGTGTGTGTGTGCGTGTGTGTGTGTGTGTGCACGTGCATGTGCGTGTGCGTGAAGGCGATCATAAATTACTAACATTCTGAAAGACAAGTTTCAGTGTCATTCGAATTGACATCTGTCGGTACGCATTTTCTTTGGAGCTTCCCCGTTTTTTTAACTTCCAAGCATCATTTAGTCGTACTAAAGACTCGGCAGCACTGACGGCGGCTGGAACGCAAACTGGCCAAAACGCTGTGTGACAAACACACCGGACGAGGATCCTAGTGCGAACAATTAAGCCATGCGTCACCAAGTTGTCCTTGCTCTGCTGATTTCTGGGGACCTGACATCATCCCTCATACTTTTTACTGATCGGTCCCGGCGTGGATAGCACCAGACCCGCCTCCCATCGAGCCCGAGTCTGGTACTTCCAGATCAAATGAGGTCGTGTGGCTAAGTTCACAGCATGTTTAGTGATAGCATTGTGCAAACAGCAAAATGCGCATCTTAGATGCAAGGGTGCAGCTTCCTGTTCCATTCGGGCCCGACCGATGTCTTAGAGGTAAGTGGGCGAAATCCGAGGAGACGTCCATTTTGCGAAGTGTTTTGAGAGGGAGTGAAGCCACTTTTCTGTGCTGAGCCCTGCCTAACCTATGTAATGAGGCTCCACCACTTTGTAGATCGTTCTCGGACTTCACTAACCATTCGCCACTAACATTAGGTAGATCTGAAAGTGGCATGGTCTGACGTAGCGCAAAGCGTGAACGGTGAAAGTTAGGGAAAACAGGTCGAGTGCTTGATTACACAGAATTGTCTATTACGCTCTACGTGTTTGTTTTCTCCCTCTATCAGTGTCAATTAAAAGACATCGACGTCGACTTATGAAAAGACCATTAGTTCACATTAAGCCTTGGCATGAGCGTTCACAGAAAAGAGCAGTCAGAGCAAGCCGCTCGTTGCGTTCCGACTCGCGTTTGGCTACCGCCCACCCGTTCGGCCGCCGACTGCCGTTGACGTCATGGGCGACTTGAAGAAGCGATCAGGTCGCCAAATTGGTTCAGCCATTGAGCTCATATCAAGAAACATTGTAAGACCCAGCCCGGGTCTTACACCTCCCGCCACCCCCCCCCCCCCCCCCCCCGCCAATCGCAAGGACGCACCTAGGTACTGGAGGACAAGAATCTGCGAGCTGGGTCGCTCCACGCAGGCGCCCGTGAGCTCCAGAGGTGGTAAAAATGCTTTTTGTGTCGCCGGCCGAATTTTCTGCTAACAAAATTGTCGCCGGCACGGTAACGCGATAATATATGACAAGAAATGACAATGGCGTTAATGCCCAGCAGCTTAATCAGAAATCGGCGTATCACCTAAAGCCTCTTTCATCAATACAACTCGCAATATCATGCACACAACCGACACGTCCATTTATAAAATATCGCTCGAGCAATGCTGGGATATCTACTACTGCGAAGAATACAAGCACACCAGCTCCAAACAACGGAGTATTTTAATTACAAAATCGTCAGCAGTAAAACAAGATACGGCGGTCGTCCTTCACACCCCGGACTTGCCGTGGTCTTGCGCTAAAGTTTGATCTATGGCTGAATTTGCCATCCTCGAACGCGGAAAAAAACGGCGCAGGACCTCGACAGCCAGAGCAGCTGAGCACATGACAAAATTCTAGCCGGTTGTAGGTAACACTGAAGGATGACGTAAACCACGCGGGCCTCCCCAAGGCCATGTTTCCCAATGAAAACCACGTGAGCACTTCGAGCCAGACCGCAACCATCATCATATTCTCCACCACACCATGGGCATGCTCTGAGCCCTGCACTTGTGTTGCCTGGTGGGGGACTTTCGATGCCCCACAGCAATCAGTACATTCAGGTTTAAAGTGAGTCTCTAGGCTGCTTGAAAAGCAAGGAGCAATATATTAAGTTTCGGGATGGGCTCAGATTGAGGTGAAGGCGACTGCACATGTGCTAAGCAAAAGGCAGTGGGGGCATGCTAGAAGAATTGTGCATCGGGGTTAGAGAGAAGGAGATCACAGAACTGTTCGAGGGAATGCCGGTCGTTTTATATTCTTGTTATGCTGAGCAAGACACAAAAGATAAAGAACAACACCAAAAAGAATCATTTACAGCTGTAGCCCATCTTCGGAAGACTGTTACATATTTTGACGAACCGAGTGCATCTGAAATTCCGGACCTAGGCTTAAGAATTATCCGTCAAACAATGACATGGCATGTGTTTTCACCAACACGACACGAACCAGCTATCGCCTATCCTAGCCAACTCTTTCACCCTTTGTATACTGAAGCTCACGCAAGTATACAGAGGGTCATGCGGATATAAAGGGCTTTGAGCTCCTCATGAGGCCCTGAGCGGACCTTGGGCTCTGGGAACTCAGGGATCGTCTGAGTAACTCAGGGGCTCTTGAGTGGCGCGGTGACGGTCCTTCAGTAGCCTGAAAAGCCCTTGAGCACTTATCGTCCCCCTAAAGCAGGTGTCCAAATGAGTCGCTTAATTATAGATATATGCTTTCGCGACCAAATGCGTCACCTGAGCGGGGAGAGGGGTAACAGCAACCAAGTTAGGTATCTGTGGTATATGTCATAAAATACAGAATTCTAAAGAGTGCAAATTACCTGCAATCAAAACAAAGCAGAATAAATATGCTGATTTGGAGGGGGGGGGGGGGTGATGCCCATGGCTCGCTAACCACCACCCCCTTATCATGTATGAAAACCGACACCCCTGACATTATGTCACAAGCAGATTAACTATATTGTTTTCTACTACCGGTGTGGGCTGGTTTTAAGGTAGGCAGTTCTCCCTTACAACCTGCACTTAATATAGATAGTGATAATGTTCAGGGTGCCATCAAAAAAATGTTTCACCTCAATGTTTCACTTGAAAATAATAGTGAATATCCTGTATTTTTACCCTTGCAATTGTGATGCCCATAGGTACAAATAAATTATGCATAAAAGTGGGCGCCTGAGAATGATTCCATTTCCAGCCTTTCATGTTGCAAAAGGGGTGCTATCATCAGCAAATGACCAAAATTGCTCTACAGAGGCAGACGCCAAGTTTTACTGAACTCCTTAACAATAGGACAAGAATCTCCACAAAACCATTTCATATTTGAAAGTAAACGTCTTGGTTAAGAGGAGATGGCAATGAAACCTTCAACACCCCCTCCACATCGCCTTATATTTTCTCAAACTCCTTGCTCCTCACCCCTCACTGCCTCCTCACTGCTGACATCGTTGGTTATTATATCAGTTTCCAGCAATCAATATTAACATTGAAAAAGTACAACTGTGAATCACCCATTTCAATGGTAACAAAACATAACTAAGATGATTGCGTTTCAACCAGAGACATATAACTGTGAATTCCCCATTTCAATGGTAACAAAACATAAATAAGATGATCGCGTTTCAACGAGAGATATAGTTTTCAAAGATAATTGGGGGGGGGGGGATGTCTGAACTGAATCGGAGCTAGATACGCACGCTGATTTGGAGTTATATTGGGCTGGTAACTATGCTCAACTAGGAACTACGCAACAATGGCTTAAATTGGCACTTCAGCACTCTTCTCACCTCCTGCCATTCCCTTCCCTACGGAGTGTCGTCAGCCCCCAGCACCGAACCCACGAACTCTTAAAAGGGAGGAAAGCCCTGTGGTTCAGACTGCTACAGTGAGTCAACAGCCTGTTCTGTGTCTTGAAAAGTCAGTCTGAATAATCACAGGCCAATTTCCTACATTGGTTTGATCGTCTCGCCGACCCTCCGTGAGCTGTCAAGCAATTAAGTCAATAATGCCCCCCCCCCCCCCCCTGCAAGAAAAAAATAACCCTAGATGGGCACTCACGAAACCGCAATGCGAATGTCGCTTGCAAAGTTCCAGCGCATTTTGCAAGTTCCTCGCCAACCTCACGAATCTCAGTTCTATCGCAACGAGGTGGGGTCAAAAAGCCGACATAGGACGCAGACACGTATGTTTTCGGAAACGGCTCGTCCGATCGCCTTGAATCCTTCACCAATCGATTCCGTGCAATGAGGTGAGTCATGGGGAGGCAATATTGAGATCTCACTTGAAGGCAGACATCTCAAAAACGCAAAGCGAAAATTTCACATGTAAATGTAGACAACTCAGGTTTCAGAGCCTACCGGACCATTTTGCATTTTGGTCAATTTGGTCAATTTGGAACCTTCACCACTGGATCCCCATGCCTGATTCCCTCCTGCAGTTCCAAATTTGGTGACTCTGGGCCAGTTCAAAAGTCGTCAAATTTAGAAGTCCAAAAATCTTGCTTGCAGACAACTTATATTTCGCAACCTGTGAACCTGGGTTAGGTCAAAAGGCGTTAAGTTTCGCAAAGTCCAAAAATTCTGCCTACCGACAACTTACATCTCTGAATCTACCACGCCGATAGCCGCCAAACCCTATCACTCAGCACGCCAGTTATCTGAATTATCTGTTGAAGCCGCAAGTATGGTGCCGTTTATAATTGCGCATTTTCTTTATGTTTGTTCCCATCAAAAAGTGCACCTTGGTTAAACTTGTCGTATGAGGTTGAATTTTGAATTTGCATTGTCTGCAGGTAGGAATTTTGGTCTTTGTGAATTGTAAGGACTTTTGACGTGATCCAGGGTCACCGAATCTGGAATTTCAAGAGGGAAACAGGCTATGCGGCGTCCAATGGTGAAGGTTTCACGGTGATCGATTCAGTAGGCTCTGGGAGCTGAGTTGTCTGCATTTGCACGTTAAATTTTCCCTTCGCGTTTTCGAGGGTATATGACCTCAGGTCAGGTCTCGATATTGCGTGCCCATGACCCACGTCGTCGCACGAAATCGATTGGAGGAGCATGAAGGCAATCGGACGAGCCGTTTCGGAAAACTCGCGGGCCTGCGTCATATGCTGCTTTTTAGACCTCACCTGCACCGATTGAAACGTGCCCTTCCGGCCAAATTAATTGCCATATCTGAATCTTTTTTCAGTATTTTCCGTTGTCTTGTTTAGAACATTGAGAGCCGGTTGGTAAAAACAGCCAATCGGCCGACCGGCCGGGCCACAGGAAATACACTGATTAGTCGCCGACGTGTCCCTGAAGTGAACGATTAACTTAAATAGAGCCTGAGAAAGATAGCATGGGGCGCAAGGTAAGGTAAAGGGTGTTTACGGAAAGGCTTGTTGGTGTTGTGGCATGGAATATTTTACCACTGAAACTCATATAAGGTCGTGGGACGCGCGCTCTAATGTTTTGTTATGGCCGTCACCAAAACTTCGACCAAAAACATTTTTGGCATCAGGTGTAGCGTGGAAATATATATTTTTGTCACCGACCTTATCCACCAAGTCGGCGGATCTTGCCGCCCTTGCCCGAGCCGGCCAACCGATCCACCAGCAACAAGAGCTGCCATCAGCTGCTACTATCTTACCAGCTGACCATCGGGGCGCACTCAGGCGCAGCAAGGGCGCACTCAGGCGCAACGACATTGTGCGCACAACACATGTCACCATGGAACGTCTCGTCGCCGAACATCCTCTTATCATCGTCCTACCAGTATCTCCAGGCATATTGAAGGTCGGTTGTTTTCAGGATAATAACTTATACAAGAGAATGGAGGTGTGGCAGAGTACGGGAATCGTGAGGCAGGACAACGCCACCTCTGCGCCATACGGACTGCGAGCAATAAGGCCCGTACACAGCATCGGTCGCTGGCTACGCAGAGAAGACAACGTGCTGCGCAATAGAGCGCACGCGTTGCTGGCGGTGCAGACCCACTTCCCGTCACAAGTTCAACCATCAGGTAAGAATACATCGAGGACTGCTACGCGTTTTTCCGGACCACTTCGGGTGCTATGGACACCAAGATGGTGTCCATGTGCATTGGGAGCATAGACACCAATGAACTGAGACTGCGCGCAAGACTGAGAGCTTGCTCGAGACAATTACACTTGGTTGGGGTTTCAAATGTGGGATGCGTCCGCGAATATGGATTTTCTAGATCCCATGTATATATATATATATATATATATATATATATATATATATATATATATATATGTATATATCATATGATGGCACCTGCACTGCAATGACCCCGAAGAGATAACCTTGCACATGAAGTGTTGGTGATGGAACGAAACGAGCGGACGTTAAGATCTCGCGTCATCAACTAGTGCACGGCTCTAGCCGCCACCGTGAGATACCATGTGGCTTGCAACAGTTAACCATATCAACGCATCTTGCCGAAGTGCTACGCACACTTGCTCCGCCTGCTTCTCGGCATCCGTTTGCGGTCCCAGAAGGGTTCAAGGAACAATCACCGCGGAGCGACCACAGTACGGCGTACCAAAAGGCGAGAGATGTGCTCATTGCATCTGTAAAACATATCTTCCACCTCGTTCAAACGCTACGCAAATTTAACAAAGTCACCTTTTGCTGGTGAACATCTGCTCGATTTAGAACATGCCTCAAGTAACGAACAATAACAAGCTCACATTTGACAGCAGTTAAAATACAGAGTCCAGATATTTGTGATACTCTAAAGAAATCCCCGTCCCCCTCCCTTCAAAAGGCTGCGAAAGTTCCACCCTATTTGGTCCGTTCCCAGAGCCTGCCCTACGGAGACCACGGTGCGAAATGCCGCGAATTACCGATCCGGCCTACATTGGGCTCGCGGCGGAATGAAACAGGCAGTTCCATCGCGCATACCAACCACACAGCTTGTGCGCCTGGAACAACTGATTCGAAACTTCCTCACCGCTGGGCGACCGGCCTCGGCTTCCCGCATCGGAGCGGCCGGCAGTCAAGCCCGATGTTTGACGCTACGCCCCGGCGCCAGGCCTCCAAATCAACTTGTCATTGGTGCCTCGTGCACCCGGGCCCGCTTCATTCACGGTGGACGGCGCCCGTCTACCGTTCCGACAGCCTATGCCTACCGCAGATGCCTGTGATCGCCAGTTCCTACCGCTGAACGGCTGCGTGAGAGAGGCACCGGCGCGGATGAGAACCTCACCTCGTGCGCCCACGTCATCAGGACCTTTTTTGCGAATTGCGAGAAATGCCACGGTATGGCGTTGGCTGCGAACATTGCGACTGACTGTGATGTCATCCAATGACGAACAAAAAACACGGCAAGAGTTTGTGACCATGTGGTCTTGTTGTGCACCCGCCTGCAGCACATTGCTGCGCGCCGTTTGTGACACCAAAGCAGAAGCGCAGCTGAATCCTGAACATTCTTCGTGACCCAGCTGCTATCTATGACACTGATGTCCTTGTCACCCGTCCGTGCACTTTGTATACGCGTTGTCCAGATGTGAGTCCGTTCGTGAACTCTGTTATAAACGGGGTGTTTCTGCTGATTGTTGCGTCTGAGTTCGGCGCACACACATTTGACGGCAACCTCTGCATTTCTGCGAGCTGTTTGTAAATGCGTGCAGAGTAGTTATAAGCGTTCAGCACAGCTAGGTGTTAACTCACCAGTGATGAGTTCGTCAGAGCTGCAATCTGACTGAAGACAGGTGAGAATTGCTCGGAACATTCTTTTTTGCAGGATGAGCACCCCAGATAATGAGGTATTCCCATTCAAGATAATCCCTTCGGATAGCGAGACGCAAAAGGCTATCGCGCGAGACTTCGCCGGCTATCCCAATGGACTGGCTTCATTCAACCACTGGGGCTTCAAGCTGTCTGCAACATTCAGCGCGGGGGAAATAGAAGACTTTTACAACTACCCAACGAAACCCGGGGACGTCTGGGTAGTGACGCCTCCGAAGTGTGGCACAACCTGGACCCAAGAGATGGTGTGGCTCATCGCCAATGACTTAGATTACGATGGGGCCAAGACGACCCTGTCTGAGAGGTAAGGCTGCACCAGACACGGTATACATGGCTTCTAAACGATTTATGTGTCAGCCAAAGCCTCTAAACGTAATCACCACGTGTTGTAACACAACTAGAAATCACAACTGCAACGTTGTTTTGACTGGAGACGTTTTCGTTCACAACACGCTACAGCGTTTGTATTTGCAGGTGGCATTTTTTGGACCTCAACGCCTTGACTGACAAAGACATACTCGCCCAACTTGCACCAGTACGAAGAATAGAAGATATTTCCCAACAGCCAAACAACAGTTCTCACCGCGCCCAGCCAAGCTTCGTAAAGACGCACTTGCCTCTGTCCATGATTAACCCGCGGGTGCTGGATGTCTGCAAGGTGGTGTACGTGGCCAGGAATCCCAAGGACGTCTGCGTCTCCTTCTTCCACCATTGCAGACTCCTGACACACGTCGACTTCCTTGGAGATCTGCAGGTAAGGTATCAACAAAAATACAGGACACTGGAGACTACAGGTTTAGTTGACATTCTCTTGAAAATATTTAACGCACTCTTCGAATTTTTTCCTCCAATACCTGTTTTGCACATGCAACGTTATGGAAGCACAGCTCTGACCTGTCGTTTCAGATGTTCGTGAAGTATTTCATGGAGGGCCGCATGGTGGCAACTCCGGTCATGGAGCACATGATAGAAGCATGGAATATGCGTCACCACCCCAACATCTGCTTCATCTTCTATGAAGACATGAAACGTGATCTCCAATCAGAGATCCGCAGGGTAGCCAAGTTTCTGGGCAAGTCATTCTCGTGTGAGCAAGTAGATGAGCTAGCAGAGCACCTCCATTTCGATAACTTTAAAAATAACTCTTACGTCAACAGGGAAGAGGGAAAGGCGTCGGGTTTCTTCTATGCAGATCGCGGCGACTTCATAAGGAAGGGCAAAACAGGTGACTGGAAGAATCATTTCACGCCAGAGATGAGTGCGAAGTTTGACAGGTGTATGGCGGAGAAGTTAAAGGGCACTGATCTCTTATTCACCATGGAGCTAGAGAAACAGCATTGATCGCTACACCAAGAAGGAACGGGATATACATATAGAAGCAGAAACAGACGTCACATCAGAGCGTGATTATTGGCGGCCGGGAGTTATCACTGCACGGCGCCCTCTGTTCAGCCTTCCGTGCCATGTTATGGAGCATAACTGGAGAAGAATTCATTCACTGAAGGCGAATGAAAATGGTGACGTGTAGGAAATAACTATCTTTGAGCGCTTTAAGACATTAATTCGTAGGTTTAGAGGGCAGCCTTCGCATGTTCTCCACCCGCGCGATTTTTAAGTTGATGAAATAAACAGATTGTCGCTTACATCGCTGCAAACTGCGCGGAAAGTCGATGGCGAAGCTGGGGAAGTTAAGGTAGGCCCTCTATTTTTCATGTTATTTGTACCTATTGCGATTATGTTGAGTTTGAAAGACTTCCGTAAGCAATCCTTCACGACGGTCGTTCTCGCACGCCTCCTGCCCTTGACGTGGTGTTATCTGCAACGGCCAACGTCATTGGATTTTACTCAACCTGCAACCCCAGCCTTAGCTGTTCGTGCTTGTAAGATTCCTGATGGTCCCAAATCTAAGTTAAATAACACTATCAGTCGTTTGTAACATGTGTTGGCCTAACTTGATGATTGGTTCAGTTCCAGCGGCCTTCAGGTCATTGCCGATAAAACGCGGCTGATGGTGTCTGGAGCCAACAAAATGTCCGCACCGTTCCCCCCTACAGTGTCAAATTCCGTGTACATCTTCCTGTCGCCTGTTTGAAGGAAAATATCTCGGCATGGCCTTTGATTGTAATCTCAATGGAATTCACACGTTTCGCTCGTCAGTGAACGCTTTTTGGTGCCTTAGCTGGTCATCACCTCTGAAGCACTGCTTGGCTGCCAGTATCCTGACCACCATGGTGAACGTCTTGGTTCTGTCACAGGTTCGTTATTGCATATCAGTATACGGCAACAGCTCACAGTTCAAAATGTCACAGATTTCCTTAAAAATGTTAAACTATACCACGATGCTCATTTTTGGCCACAAAAAAGGATCATGTGTCGGACCTTCACTAGAGGCATAGCTAGCTTCCTGCTGCAGATCTAGGCATGTATCATACCATCTCACCCATCCACAAGACCCTCCACTCGGGCGAGCCCGACTCACTTGCTCGTGTAGTCTGTGCTGGGTATGAAGGCGTGGTTGGCCCACGAGGTAAGACAGGGATCTCGTAATGCCTCGTTCGCCTACTGAGATGGCGAAAAGCCGTTTTTTATTCGCGCACTCAAGATGTACAAAGAACTCTGGGACTGTCTTCGGCTACCCCGATTGTTTCGTTCTCAAATCATTTGAAGAGACATGTTGTGAGATATCTGAAATTGTCATAACCGGTTTGTGCGGTGGAGTCGTAACTGGTGTGCGTGCCTGTATTCGAGTGCGTGCCTGTATTCGTGTGTGTATGCCTGTATTCGAGTGCGTTAGTTTTTGGATGGCTGTCTTTGTCCTCATGGCCTATTAGCCGTCCATTTGTCTGCTGACGATACGTATTAACAGACCAGATTTTTCGAGGCCACCCAAATAAACGTCATTTAATCAATTGCAAACGCACATACTAAAAACTTTCGTTGGGGGTTTGTTTCACAAGTCGATTCTGCAAAAGGTGCATACCGGCTGCCATCCTGGCGACACGAGGTCTCGAACCCCTCGTCAATCCCCTTGGCTGAAATGGTGTGGGGTCCCCGCTCAGAATTAAAGCCATGACTGAGACATGGCCCTTTCATGGACGCACACTCCGCGCAGGAATTTCTGATTGGAATGTTCAGATTGCTACAAGCGCGGTGTAATTAAAGCGAATACCAGGCACGCAGTTCGCAACTGTGTTTCATGGGGGGGGGGGGGGAGGGCCAACACGTGAAACTGGAACGATCACATCTTCTAGTGAACAGAGAGTGCAACGACCAAGATGTGGAGAGTGAGATCCGTCACAGTGCATCCTTGTTAAAAAGAGTTTACAAAAAGAGTCACGCAGAAAAAGGGTAAAAAAAGAGTCAAAAAGAGTTTACAAACGTCATCAAGGCCTACCACAAAAATCAAATGCCAACTGCATGTCAAGGCGATTAACAACGGCTTCGCAACGACTCTTTCGCAGACTGGCAGCGGCCGCGCAAAAGATCACGTAACTTCAGAGGGCAGGACCGACCGTGCCGAGCATTGTGAAACATTCTGTTTTCGCACCAAATTCTGCCGTTGACCTGGAATTGCGTGATCGGATGGTAGGAGTCAGGGCTCACATAACAAGCACTGCTTAGCGTGAGCCTTGATCCCAGAAATCCAATCATTCAAAAATCTTACATAAAATATTTAAAACAAATGACTGCTCAGCTTCCCAAAATCATTTGGCAAAATTGCGTCTCTCATATGCATACCCAGCCGAGTTAATCACGATCCAATCTATTCTATACACACGTCAGCACACACACCCACACCTGAAAGAAGTCCTGGTGAGACTGCGAGTCGGACACACCTCGCTCACATAATCTTATATCTGCGAACACACCCCACTCCGCTTTGCCACCCATGCCAACCTCCGCATACCAATGTACACTTGATCCTCACCGGCGCACATCTCACCACGCCCGCGTCTCACTATCACCCAGTGTACAAACATATCCCCTCACCGGCGCCGAACACCGGCCTGCGCCTCACTCCCACCCAGTACACAAAAATACCTCCCCATCTGCCCCGAATACCGGCCCGCGTGGCACTATCATCCAGTACACAAAACACATCTCCTCACCTGCACCGAACACCGCCCCGCGTGCCACTCCCACTCAGTACACAAACATGCCTCCTCATCTGCCCGAACACTGGCAATATTATGCCGGCATTGTGAAGGGTCCGTCTGCCGGGAAACTGACGAATTTGCGTGCAACATATGTACGTAAGGCGTATGTCAGCAGCCTAAGGTACGCACACAGATGTTCGAAAGGGCAAGTGTTCGCAACCGCCAATGTTCGTACCGCAAACATTCGTATTACAGATGTCCATAAGGGTGAATGTTTGAAGTGGCTGATGTACATACCGCAGATATTCGTATTACAGACGCTCGTAACTCGCAAGCAGAGATGTCCCGGAAACTGTTAGCGTAAGCACTGCAATTTTTTGGACCGCAGATGTTTCAAACCGCCAGGGTAGGTACTGTAATTATTCGTACCGTAGATGTGAGCGAGCGCAAATGTTCGTAAGCGCGGGTGATGACACGGATATTCGTCCGTGCTTATCTCGCATTGCAATCGTTTCGATTGCAAATGTCCCCACGAAAATGTTCACAAAGGAGGCAGACGGTCGCAGGCACAAATGCTGGTATCGCAAATCTAAGCGTGCCTGAAGGAAAACACATGACTGGGAGACGCTTACCGTCAGTGGTACGGCTCGGGCTTCGGAATACGGCTAGGGACTGAGCTTAGCGTGGTAGTGACGTCCGACTCAGACGAGCGCGATCTCATCTGGATCGCCACGAAGGCTGAAACCGCGCTATGTGCAGATCTAACGGGAATCCCCTCAGCCGTCTGTGCTGCGTGTCTTGGTCAGGGCGGAGCACACACAGGCAGACGGACGTGTTATCTCAATTTAGTTTAGATGCATCGTTACCGACGCATCTTTAGGCTAAGTCAGCCTGCGCACGCTCACAAGCCGAGTAACCCCATGTAACTTGGTAACTAGTCAATCATCGCTGAATTGTCATGATGCAATATGTCTTGCGAGCACTACGAGCACCCATACGCCCTGATCCTAACCGATTTTAGCATCAACTTAAGCCAACCTAACTTGTTTCTTGGCTGATGTTATGAGATTGTGCCCCATAGCGTAGGCCCTCAGACAGCGTAACATCAGCGTAGACCCTTCAGAAGATGGGCAAGTCCGGGATTAGTGTTTCAGGCCCCTGAGCGATGTATGACGAAAAATCCCGAACTACCAGAAATAGTTCGCAGATAACCCCTGTTCCCAGCTTATGAAACTGATCGGCACAAAACCTGCCGCCAGTCGACACGACATGGTCGATAACAGGGTCGGATCCAGGCAGGAGCGCAGCCATATAGTTGCAAGGGGTTCACAAGGTTAACAAGAGACCCCTGATAGTAAAGGAGCCCCCAAAAACGTCGAATGTGGCCCATTGCCATTGAGGACATGTTTTCACACCCACACCTACACCCCACACCACACCCACACACACACACACACACACACACACACACATATATATATATATACATATATATATATATATATATATATATATATATATATATATATATATATATAAAGAGCACCGGTGTTTTTTCTTCAGTCACCGGTGCTCTTCTTTTAGTAATGGTCCAGTGCACTCTTTTGATTGGGTAGAACTCAGAAATTTTGTCAGAATTTCTATCTGGGTCGTACAGAGATAGGAAGGATTCCGCGCATGTAGGTTTGAGTTCAAAATGGGTCAACAATCTGCATTTACATGCCCAAGCCATAATTGCCTGGGTATGTTTAATATTCAGTCAGATTCGATTAGATGTACAAATTGGGGCAACGTAGTTTTGAGCATGCGCGCTGGTACGTCTTGGTAACAAACATCAACGCCAGGCGTTGCAGTCTCCCGAGGCCTCGCAGCGTCGGTCCGCTGTTGATACTGGGCTGTGGCCAACAGGTGAATGAAAATGGTGGCGCATCTGAAAGAAGTACCACTGAGCGCTTTTTGACGCCAAATCGTACATGTGGAAAGATTCCGGACGTGTATTTCACCTGCGCGCTTTTTGGTTGATAGCAATAACGTATTGGTCTTTACAGCACCGCGAAGTGGTGCTGGAATCTGGGGGTGGAACTGGAAGAGTAGAGTAAAATACTTATTTTCTGTGTTGCTGTAGCTGTTAAATCGTCCAGAGGATAACCTCGAAGGTTTGACAAATTCTCCCGGTCTAGCATTTCAATTAATTGTGAATCAATTAGTTGTGTTCGAATTAATTGTGAAAGTCAGCCTAGGAAATTTATGGAAAATTTAGAATAAGGTTCTAACATTTAACAAACATTATGACAAAAATTATAGAAAGGAACATCCCTTTGCGAGGGTCATTGTTCTCAGATAGGCATGGGGCTCATCGGGAGCTCAGACGGACATGGAGCGGACTGTTTGGTGTTCACGTCCGTCAATCTAGCAGCAGATTGATATCTAACTGCCAGTTGGGTATTCCAGGGCGGCACGATCGCCTCCAATTTTGGTGTGCATGACCTTCTCGACACGCTGATTCCGAAAAATCGCAAAAAATTGCGTTGCTTCCGAGCTACAAGGCGCCTAACATCGCCAGATTGACGTTGCGGGGCGTTTCGATTGTCTCCAGATTTGGTGCACAGGGTCTTCTCAACGCGCTGTTTCCGAAAATCACTGCTTTTGGGGTGGGATTTGCGTACTTTCCGAGTTATACGACGCTTAACACTCCAGTTGGATATTGCGCGGGCGTCTCGATTGCCTCCAAAGTTGATGTACAGGAGCTTTTCAATACGCTGATTCCGAAGATCACTGTCTCTGGGGTGGGATTTTGTGTAACTTCTGAATTACAAGGCGTGCAATGTGTCAGTTTCATATTCCAACCTTATTGGCAGTGAAACCTGCTGGACATCAGGTTCGCCAAAGTTAGTGATTTTCCTTACTTGCCCAAGAGCGTACTGCTTTCCTCTCAAAATTTGCTTAGGGATGAGGAAATGCAGTAATGCTAGTAGTGAAAATCTGTAGTTATTGGTTGTAATGAGCAGTTGTATTCTTTATGCATGGAAGTTTTGGGCGGACAATCTGATTTTTGGACACTTTTGGACGGACAAATGACCCGTTTTGTGCTTTTGATTGTACTTTGGACAATCATTCCCGGAAAAAACGTCTGGTCAGGAGATATCACCCCATCATTACACAAATCCAAAGTGATCGTTCTCGCTGCCGCTGCTTTGGATTTTTATGACAGTACTGGAGCGTATCGGTGATTTCGGGAAAATTCGAATCCTTTGAATTTGAATCAAGGATAAATTTTGTTTTCTGCAATTCGTACATATGAAAAGCGTGTGTTACGTTACAAAACAACACCCTGGAGAGTTTGATTTTATTTCATTTGACCTATGGAAATGAAAATACGAAACAATGTTTGAATAGCAGCTAGGCATATCGCACCTCACAATAAATTAGCTTTAAAACGCAGTTCTCAAGGCTACCATCACCTGCTTTCTTTGCACTTATCATTCTTGTTATTCTCGTGATCACACACGCCGCACTCTTGTAAACATTCGATGCACCGTAGCGCGCT